CCGAGGTCATGGTTGGTCACTGAGTGAGGGGCGGGGAAAGGGAGAGGAGGCGGAACAATTACGGCACGCCGTGCTGGAGGGGGAGGGCGGGTGGTGAATCAGTTAGAATGCGGGCGGCAGTATTCGCGGTCGTTGATGCGTAATTAGGGCAGGGGGCAGTCATTCGTGAACGTAGACCCTCGTAATGGGCATCTAAATCAACGTGGCGGTTGATACTACCCGCATCGGAGTACCAAGCCTCGAGAAATTCCCTCGCTCGCTTTGTGTTAGCCATGGCGACGACTTCAGTGCCATCCCAATTGAATCGGTGGTCGTAATCGAGTGCATGGGCAAAGACGAGGGACAGGGGGTCTCGCCAACGGATAGCTAGTTTGTGTTCGTTGATACGGGTGCCCAGTCATCGACCTGTATGGCCAACATACACGCAAGAGCAATTAGCACACGGGATGCGATAAATTACATTCGTTTTTTGCTCTTTGGGGAGGGGGTCCTTCACTCGAGATATTGCTGTGCGTAGTGAAGATGCCGGTTTGTGGGCAACGCGAATACCCAGGCGGCTGAGCTGCCGAGCGATTATTTCGGAAGTTCCACGCATATATGGCAAGGAGTAGAATTTTCGCGTAACAATCTCTCCGTTGGGGGTGGGGTCTTGCGACTGTGTCTGGTGCCTGAGACAGTTCTTAACAAAACTGATCGGATATCCGTTAGAGCGGAATAACCGATACAGGTGAGCAAGCTCTTTGTTCAGGAGATCGTTGTTGTTACAATAACGGTAGGCCCGGTGGAACAGAGTTCGGACGCAGCTTCTTTTGTGAGCTGCGGGGTGGTTGCTTCCATAGTTGAGGATAATCTCAGAGTTAGAGTCTTTCCTATGGACGCTCGTTGCCAGGGCACCATCGCTCAACTTCTGTATTCTCACGTCCAGAAACGGCAAGCTGTCTCCAATTGCCTCTTCGCGGGTAAACTGTATGGCTGGGAAGACGTCATTCAGTCTCTTGTGAAGACGTTCGACTTCGCACTTCTTTATTATGACAAAGGTGTCATCAACGTAACGAAGCCATAGTTTAGGCTGGATAGGTTGGAAGACTATCTCTTCTAGTCGCTACAAAACTAGAAGTCCTGATATTGGTGAGCCCATCGGGGTTCCCTTTACCTGTTGATAGTACCTATTATCAAATTGACAATAAGGCAGAGATTTAGCAGTTCTATAACATGCTGTGTTGGGATCTCAATAGGATTGGTCTGTAGGCGTTGGGTTACGCATTCAATCGCCAAATCCTGTTGTATGGAAGAAAACAAGGCAACGACGTCAAAGGACAGGAAGCATTCATCGGCACTTACTTTGAGGCCTTGTACCCTGCGAAGGAACGCTTGAGAGTTGTTAATGCTGTAGTCCGATCCATAAGTGAGCCGCTTCAGACGACTGTATAACCACTTAGCCATATTGTAAGTCGGTGATCCGATAAGTGGCACTATAATCCTCAGGGGGACATCCACTTTGTGCACTTTCGGGAGGCCGTACGCGTGTGCGATGTGGGGATCACTGAGGGCCATCAACTTGGAGTCATCTGGACTGATAACTTTCGAACGAACGAGCTCATTGACCTTCTTTTTGATGGCTGCGGTTTGCTTTTTAGTCGGATTTTCAGCAAGAAGGGAATAGGACTCCATGTCACTGACGATTTCATTCGCCTTGTTAACGTATTCAATTTTGTCCATGATGACAGTAGCGCCACCCTTGTCTGCGGGAACAACGACAATACTGTGATCTGACTTCAATGATCGTAATGCCTGCGCTTCTTCGGCCGGTAGATTTTGTGGGTATCTTTTTTGCCGGAGAATACCGGTGGCGCAGCTTCGTATGTTCGCGCGCATGTCTTCCAGAATGTTGGAGGCCAGTAGAATGGACTCAAGTCCAGCTAAGAAGTCGGTAGGTGTGGCATCCGCATGATTAAATCGTATTCCCTTTGATAGGAGGGTGATTTCCGCAGGTGAGAGACTCCTCTTCGATAGGTTGACAACTCTCGTGGTCGAATTCCCTTCGTTCGTAGGACGGAGAAGTGATTGAAGTTTCTCCTGGAGATCAAGTCTCTTCTTCAATCTGGCATCCTTGGCGGTGTCGTTTATTCTTTGCTGCACATCCTCGAATACGTGCTCAGGTAGCACTGAAGCGCACTGATTTTTTAGGTCAGTAATTTTTGCTTCGAATTTGTGGAGACGATTGTGAACGTCCGATATTAGAGCACTCAAAACACGCCATCCGTATTTGCGCGCAAGAAATCTCCCGGTCTCATTCGGCAACGTCGGTTTGAAACGAAGAGACTTCGGTAACACAACGTGATCGCGACAGCGGTGGAGAAAAGTCAGTTGTTCGCAAGTCATCGCATGTCTCTGTGTGAATTTCTCCCAACGTCTGGTGAAAATAAGCGTTTGACGCCCGAATATACGTTGTAGCTCAGAGGGGGTATGCATTCCGAGTTGATATAATGAAAAGTAGAAGTGGTTCTTCGGAAAAAATCGAGTTTTGCTCGTGAATTTTCGAGCTGGTGACACCAACCCGTCGTCAGACGAAATGAAAACGAGGGAGAAAGTTATGTTGTCACAGTAGACCAGTTAGCATGATAGGACAGAACAGACCACTGACGTGTGAGGGGGGGGTGGTTGGGTGGGCTCCCGAGGTCATGGTTGGTCACTGAGTGAGGGGCGGGGAAAGGGAGAGGAGGCGGAACAATTACGGCACGCCGTGCTGGAGGGGGAGGGCGGGTGGTGAATCAGTTAGAATGCGGGCGGCAGTATTCGCGGTCGTTGATGCGTAATTAGGGCAGGGGGCAGTCATTCGTGAACGTAGACCCTCGTAATGGGCATCTAAATCAACGTGGCGGTTGATACTACCCGCATCGGAGTACCAAGCCTCGAGAAATTCCCTCGCTCGCTTTGTGTTAGCCATGGCGACGACTTCAGTGCCATCCCAATTGAATCGGTGGTCGTAATCGAGTGCATGGGCAAAGACGAGGGACAGGGGGTCTCGCCAACGGATAGCTAGTTTGTGTTCGTTGATATGGTAGACCACAGCATACCATGCCAAAACTGTGATGCAAGGTATGTTGGTAATACGGGCAAACGTCTTGGCACAAGATTGCATGAAAACCAGCTTGCAATCAACCGCAAGGACAAGCTGTCTATGGTTTATGGCCACGTCAAACAGCAGAACCACAATTTCGCCTTTGAAAAGGCAAGGGTAATCGGCCGAGGCAATGATAAGATGGCCAGACTGGTGCTCGAAAGTTGGTCCTCGACTGGCACACTCAACAGAGCCATAGATCTGCATCCCGCCTATCAGGCGCTACGTACAAGGCTCGAGTCAGTGCGGACAAGGCCATCAGGACAGTCGAGCAAAGTGACGCGTGGCCGACAGCCGATGTCAGCAGAAAGTGGGAGAGAAGCCGGCCGGGGATCATGTGACCAGCATGCGACGCCACCTCACCGCAGCACCCACGAGGCTGAGATCAACTCACACGAGCCCCAACAACTGTTCAGTCCGTTGAGTGACGAGGGGGAGGCCGACAAACATGCTGGCTCACCAACAATTACGACGGCCGCGAAGGGGTCATTAGTGGCAGGAGCCCACCGACGGTCAATCGTGGAGAGGTCAACGCTAATCGGCGGCGAACGGGCAGGTCAAAGTTCGTGCCTCGCGCACGGATATAATACCAGGCAGGTATCAAGGCTGACGCAATCAGGACCAGCAGGAACAGTCAACGCATTACTCTGATGATGGAAACGAGAGGGTTTCCGAAACGTCAGTACAACTATAACTCGGTCCATGAATTCGCCCCATCTTCTTCTTCGTCTTCTTCGGGGGATGATGAACGGGATACAATATCTGGACCTCGAATCTTTACCCATATCAATACATATATATATATATTGAAATCAAGAACGTTCTTTGGGAAAGGGAGAAAACTTTATTGAGTAAATTTTCGACGTCGGTTCCCCGTGTCGTCGTCAGACTAGAGCAAATGTGCTGAAAACAATTAAAATTTCAAACGTGCTACAAAATCAATACTCATTTGGTGCCTCAGCTAGTAAGCTGCCGTCGTATGTGTCAGTCCGTATTGATCGGCTTTCGTGTCTTCCACTATTCTCTGAGATTCTTGTACGAGGCATCTAACTCGATGTGCCTGTTGATGCATGGAAGAGACGAAAGCCGATCAATACGGACTGACACACGACGGCAGCTTACTAGCTGAGGCACCAAATGAGTATTGATTTTGTAGCACGTTTGAAATTTTAATTGTTTTCAGCACATTTACTCTAGTCTGACGACGACACGGGGAACCGACGTCGAAAATTTACTCAATAAAGTTTTCTCCCTTTCCCAAAGAACGTTTTTGATTTCAATTTATATTTCTTGGGATGCCTGCGTTCCAATATATATATATATAATGTTAGGGGGCGCTCACCGATCGTTCATACGGAACTCACTCGTTCCGTTGTGCCTTAAGGGCTCTCTATCGAGCCCAACCAGCAGCCGCACAGCGGCGCATGATATATAGGCAGAATGGTATTACCGACAAAGACAAGGGAGACTGGAATGGCCATTTCTGGCTTATTAGCCGTCGTCAGCCAGCCATACCCAAGCCCGAAGTGTGGAACACCCGAGCCTTTTTGTCGGTAATAACATTCTGCCGATATATCATGCGCCGCTGTGCGGCTGCTGGTTGGGCTCGAGAGAGAGCCCTTAAGGCACAACGGAACGAGGGAGTTCCGTATGAACGATCGGTGAGCGCCCCCTAACATTGTATATTCCCGATCGAAAACCGACAAGGCAACGGGCTCGTGGCCCGGTGAGTAGAGGCGTTGACTTCTAAACCAACAGGTCGCGAGTTCGAGGCTCGGGTGTTCCACACTTCGGGCTTGGGTATGGCTGGCTGACGACGGCTAATAAGCCAGAAATGGCCATTCCAGTCTCCCTTGTCTTTGTCGGTAATACCATTCTGCCTATATATATATATATATATATATATATATATATTGTGGCCAGACAGGAAAATCCGCCTCAACACGCATCCATGAGCACCAGTTGGCAGTAAAGAGGCGAGACCATCTGTCTCAGGTAGCCATGCATACGCTGGACACCGGGCACACTTTCGCTTGGGACAAAGCTCGCGTTGTCGCGGTCTGCCCTTTCAAGAAAGGCCGAGAATTCCTCGAGGCGATGCACTCTGACGACTCATGCATCAACCGGCATATCGAGTTGGATGCCGTGTACAGAAACCTGAAGGAGAAATGGAAGAGAAGGGAACCAACCAGCTCAGACTGACGCACGACGGCCGCCAACCGGCGCACACGCCATGCAAGTATCGATTTTTTTGTGCACTCTTGACGTTAGCTGTTTCTTGCTTTCACATTTGCTTTCCGCTTGCGTCTGACGACGACCTGGGGAACCAGCGTCGAAAATTTACGCAATAAACCCTCTTGTCCCAAAGAACCTACCTCTTTTCAACTTATATCGCTTGGGATGCCTACCTTTCAATACTTACGCATGAATTACGACCGCAAAGTCTTGCTACAAGCCAGACGTTGGGAAAAATGTGCAATTCGCGAAAGTCTAACGCGAGAACAGTTAACATTTCTGCACAGATGCCGAAGTAAGAAGATACTGCCAAGATCCGTGTGTGTGAAACCCGCGGTTAAATCTACCTTGGGATACCAAATTGCTTCACGTTACGGACGAAGCATGCTCAATGCATTCATAACCGACGCCCATTATCGCCTCCAAAAGTGCCAAGTTTCTAAGGAGCGGCACAGGCAATTTTGTCGAGACCAGCTTCCTTCGCACTTATTTGAATCACTGAACGAAACGATTTCACACGTTTCTGAACTCGAAAGACAAAAGAAGAGGAGTAATCTAGACAGAAAATGGATGACCATTTCACAGAAAGCAGATACAGCTCAGCAGTTTTCAAAAAAAGTCGTAAATCTGTCCTCCAGAGTCCTCACGACAACGGAAGAGGGTGTGCTGTCCAAGGGATTGAAGTACAATCTTTCCGACTCGAATTATTTGGACTTTCTTGCAACCTTGGAATCCATTATTTCAACAGCAAACTTCACTGAAGACGAGCGGTCTACCATCCGAAATAGTACTGTACACGCCTTAAGAGACCGGAACCAGTTTACAGTACTATCACTTGAAGAAAGAAAGGCGATTAAAGGCCTTAAAATGGACCAAAATATTATCATTCTTCCCGCGGACAAAGGAGGCTCCACTGCCATTTTGAACAAGACGGACTACAAACAGAAAATGCTGTCATTATTAGACGACAGATCTACTTACCAACCACTCCCTACAGACCCCACCAAAGCGCAAGCTTCATCCATCGACAAAGTGTTGAAGCGTCTCACAGGGAAGAAACAACTGTCAGAAGACATCGCTAAATCGCTCAAACAAACTGAGCCGACCATCGCGAAGATCTATGGATTGCCTAAAGTCCACAAAACCGAAGTTCCACTTAGACCGATCGTATCACTAATCGGTGCACCTAACTACAAAATTTCCAAGTGGTTGTTCCAGAAACTTCATCCGCTCACGAAAAATTGTGAAACCTCAATAGAGAACTCGACAGAATTCCTGAAGAAATTGCAAGGGATCACAGTTTCCGCCGATGAGATAATGGTTTCTTTTGATGTCGTTTCCCTGTTTACGTCAATACCGTTGGATGTCGCAAAACAGTGCACCGAGGACCTCCTGCTGTGCTACGACACAGATGTGCCCGCCGCCGCTATGCTCGAACTGATTGGTTTATGCTTGGAAACTAACTTTTCATTCGACCAGCAATGCTACAAGCAACTGAAAGGAGCCCCTATGGGGTCACCCATTTCTGGTTTTCTCGCTGAAATAACAATGCAGAAACTAGAGGCAACGGCGCTCCCGTTGTGTACTCCTAAATTGTGGCTGCGATATGTGGATGACACATTTGTTATCGTAAAAAGGAACCAACTAGAAGTGCTCCACAATACTATCAACTCAACAATTGCTGGGATTCAATTCACACTTGAAAAGGAGGTGGACTGCAAACTCCCATTTCTGGATGTTCTCGTGCAGCGTCAGGTCGACGGAACGTTACGCACATCCGTTTACCGGAAAGAAACTTACGCCGAAGTCATTCTTCCTTATAAGAGCAACCAGCCCATTTCTCACAAACGGAGTGCCGTAAACAGTCTGCTTGGTCGAGCAAAAACACATTGTTCGGATGAAGAAGGCTATCGAGCCGAAGTGAATTACTTGTGCGAATTATTTTCGCAGAATGGATACCCTAAGGACTTTGTACGCAGATGCATGAGGCAGCGAGAATCAAGGGAGAAGGAGCCGGGTAGTTCCAATCAGACGCCTGAATTAAGCAATTGGCGAACCCTTCCTTACATTAAGAATGTGTCTGAACTCGTCGAAAGGCACTTAAGGAAGCACCAAATTCGAGTGGCGCACAAACCTACGACTACTTTGCGCTCTCAGCTGGTACATCCTAAGGATAGGGTTAATCAGCTGGACAAGAAAGAGGTCGTCTATAAGATACCGTGTAATGCATGTACTGCCGTCTATTGTGGCCAGACAGGAAAATCCGCCTCAACACGCATCCATGAGCACCAGTTGGCAGTAAAGAGGCGAGACCATCTGTCTCAGGTAGCCATGCATACGCTGGACACCGGGCACACTTTCGCTTGGGACAAAGCTCGCGTTGTCGCGGTCTGCCCTTTCAAGAAAGGCCGAGAATTCCTCGAGGCGATGCACTCTGACGACTCATGCATCAACCGGCATATCGAGTTGGATGCCGTGTACAGAAACCTGAAGGAGAAATGGAAGAGAAGGGAACCAACCAGCTCAGACTGACGCACGACGGCCGCCAACCGGCGCACACGCCATGCAAGTATCGATTTTTTTGTGCACTCTTGACGTTAGCTGTTTCTTGCTTTCACATTTGCTTTCCGCTTGCGTCTGACGACGACCTGGGGAACCAGCGTCGAAAATTTACGCAATAAACCCTCTTGTCCCAAAGAACCTACCTCTTTTCAAAATATATATATATATATATATATCACGTTCATCATCCCCAAAAGAAGACGAAGAAGAAAAAGAGGCGATGCCATGGACCACACTGTATTGGTGCTGACGTTTCGGAATCTTCCTCGATTCCATCATCAGAGTAGTGGTAGGGTGTTTGTTCCTGCTAGCTCAGAGTTGTTCTGTCTCGCCGCCTGTCTCGTGTTATAGGCATGCCTGCTACATGAACTCTGACCTGCCTGCTGGCGGGGGATTGGCTTAGGTCTCTCCGTGGCCGACTGCTGGGGCGCTGGTGTGACCTCTGCCCCCTGCCCGGCCGCTGTTGTCGCTGCTAGGTCCGTGTGCCCTTGGGCCCTCCCCCCATAATTTGACGGGCTGATCAGCTGCCGTTGCATGTGGGAATCGGGGTCGGCTGTTTGGGCGCGTCGGTGGGTCGATATCTCGCGTCGGTCGTCTGACACCCGGCTGGCTCTCTCCCCCTGCTGGGAAGGTGACAACTGTTGAGAGAGCCACGATTTGTTCGCCAGTGCTGTCGGCCCCGTCCGAGCTGACTGGAGCCTCGTACGAAGGGCCTGGTAGGCCGGATGAAGATCAATGGCTCTGTTTATTGTGTCAACTGAGGACCAACTTTCGAGAACCAGTCTGGCCATCTTGTCGCTCGCTCGGCCGATGATGCTCGCCTCCCCAAAGGCGAAACTGTGCTTCTCCTGTTGTATGTGGCCATATACCAGGGACAGCTTATCCTCGCGGTTGACTGCAAGCTGGTGCTCGTGCAATCTTGTGCAGAGGCGTTTGCCCGTTTCACCAACATACCTTGCACCGCAATCTTGGCAAGGTATGCTGTAGACCACTGCTGATTGTTCTGTTGCAGGTAGCTGGCCTTTGGGCCTCATTATCTGCTGTCTGATGGTGGATTCCGGTTTATGGGCCACCCCAATCCCAAAAGGGCTCAGGATTCTTGCTGTCGCCTCAGAAACATTCCTCATGTAGGGGATTGCGAGCCAGAAGTTCGGCTTCTCGTCGTTAGATCGTTCGCGGTTAAATCCTCTTCGGCACTCACGTATGAAGGATCGTGGGTAACCATTGGCTGTGAATAGGGAATGCAGGTACTTCACTTCCTCCCTTCTCCCGTCGTTGTCATTACAGTGTGTTTGAACTCGTTGGAAAAGAGCTCTGACACAACTGCGTTTGTGACCGATGGGATGGTTACTCCGGAATTGGAGGATGCGTCTGGTATTCGTTGCCTTTCGGTATACCGTAGTTCTGATCCCCCCATTAGCCATTCTTGTGATGTTTACGTCAAGGAAGGGCAACTGGTTGTTGTACTCCTCTTCCATTGTGAATTGGATGTCGGGGAATATTGAGTTCAACAAGACTTTGAAGTCCTGAACGTCGTTCCTCTTGATTACGACAAAGGTGTCGTCGACGTATCTGGCCCAGAATTTTGGGGAGTACGAACGGAAGACCAGTCGCTCGAGCCTCTGCAGAACAGCCTCGGCAATCAGTCCAGACAGCGGGGAGCCCATGGGTGTTCCCTTCTTTTGTTCGTAAACCCGGTTGTTGAAAGTGAAGAAAGTTCTGAGGCACAATTCCAGGAGTTCGATGACGTGCGTTCGTTTAAGCCGTTGATCAGTTTCATCGTACTTCTCCTGAAGAAGCTCGTTAATATATATATATATCGAAGATGTTTTTGAAGTGCAAACTGATGACGCTACTCAGTAAATGGCCTATACAAGTGGGGAAAGGTCTACGCCTCTGGCAATACCAACTTCAAATAGCTGCCAGTACCTTAACCATCTATGCCATTCTGTGTCGCACATGGATGACGATTTGCTTAGAGTGGTTATTTTGTGAATATTATCGTGTTAAAGATGTCTATATTATCAGATGCTACAAGTAGTTTGAGAAAGTCTCATGGTGCAGCAGCATTAAATTCCCTTTAAATCTTATAAGTTGTTAAAATCCCAGCATCTGCGTTAGGTTCCATGATCGCCTTCGAAATTTCATGATTGGAGTGGGAGAGTTTAAAGCCGTTCCGACATTTCCAGTGGTCGTGAATAGAGGACTAGTTATTTAAGACATCCTTAAACTCTCACAGCCATATTCACTCTTTTCAGTCTGGTATCGGACACTACTTATCTGATATCTGCCGAAACATTCCTGCAAATCTACTCTCCCGTCATTTTTTCAGCTGGAACATTTAAGGACTTTAGGTAAGCTCCCTACAAAATATTTACATGCCTTGAAGGAGAACGACACAGAACTTAATTAACACCAAACAAAAGTATGCGACTATCAGCATCGATTGCTTCCCAGGCGAACGAGTACTCCCAAATCTACCAGCAAATGGTACTGTAAATGACACGTCATCTACCCGTTCACCTTCCGATCATCAACAGTTTGGCAGCATGAACGGCTCCACCTACGTTCGGACAGAGACTACACTCCGAAAGCCAACTCTCCCTGTCGTCCAACCTGGCGTCCTTCTACACACTCATAAACGAGCGAAATACCACCACCCAGTATCTGCGTCGCTCGAGACAGGGGTTAACATAATCGGTAGAAAACGCAAGGGTGGAGTGAAGGTGATAAAGGGTGTGTAATTAGCTAATTTCACAACCCGACCTACTCAACGTAGACAGATCGACGCCAACTCACACTCTCCTGAACACTCCTAAAGCGAACTCTCAAGCCCCAATTCTACGAACACGCTCATCTCGTAAACGCCACACCCCCGACCCCACCAAACACCTACCACTGTTTACGCTATCGCCGGTGCGATGCCCATTCCATGGACGACACACTGAACATCATTGTTCGTGACAGTGGAATTGTTGGTCTCGCGTAAGACGTCCATCCTCTGTTGTCATTACTACAGTTTACCCGGGTCTCGATCGCGGCGCCGAGACTTGACGGCTCGGGGGATGTCATGTCTAACCCAACTTCCCATTAAACTAACCTTAATGCTTTAGGGAGGCCCTGAGTCATGTTGCTATTGAACCACTGACTATGCAGGTCGATCGAACTAGCTTGTCCAAGCCACGTCTTCTATAACACATTGCACAGGCTTGTTATCTTGGTCGACCGACCCAATGACGCTAAAGTCCGTCGCCTGATCAGCCAGCGCAAGGAGACTCGTCACTTGTGACTTCTGTTCCGACCTCGACTCATGTATAACTAGCTTCCCGCAGTTACACCCTCTACGGAAATATCAGAATGCACAAATAAATCTGAGCATTTTTCTCAGTTATTCCAACGTAATTTTCACTAGGGTATCAGTTCACATTCCTCCCATTGCTGAGATCATGTAATATTCGATTATTAAAGTTATTGTGTTTTGCGAAGACGCGACTTTCTAAGAATTAGAATAGCTTGGAGGAATGTAAATCTCTCGGCCCGGACGAAATCCCTGCAAAACTGCTCTCTGTACTTTCCCGCAAGTTGACCGAACCACTCTCCCTTCTGTGCCAATCATCGTTTGATGCTGGAATCCTTCCTGCAGACTGGAAGATGGTCCACATTATGCCTCTGTACAAAAGCGGTAGTCGTGTTCTTGCGACGAACTACAGGCCCGTCACTCTGCCATCTTTCTGCCGCAAAGACATGGAAAAAATCATCAAAGGGGATTTGATGTCTTATTTTTAAACCAGCAAGTGGCTCCTAGCGTTCAACGTATCCAAGTGTATAGTCTTGCGACTAGAATCTGGACGGAGGCGCTTCCCAAAACGTCAGTACATCATAAATGGGGTTCCGCTAAATGAAGTGGACACGCACAAAGACCTAGGTGTCTGGACATGCTCAAACTTGCTGCCCTCCCAGCACTGCAAAAGAGTCGTCCAAAAGGCAACCAGCACCATGCACTGGTTTAGGCGTGCCTTCAAAATCTTTCCTCCAGAACTCTTCTCACAGATATTCGGCACATTCGTCAGACCGCACTTGGAATACGGAATGCCATCATGGATGCCCTGGATGAAGAAAGACAGTGATGCCATAGAGCAGGTGCAACGGCGGGCCACAAAACTGGTGGACGGTCTCAGGACTCTGTCATACCCAGAAAGACTGATCCAGTTAAATTTGTTCCCCCTATCCTATAGAAGAATGAGGTGTGACCTATTATGGACATTCCGCATTATCCACGGGCATGAATGTTCGCTCACAACTGACGACTTCTTTGAATTCACGACCACGAGTCACCTGCGCGGTCACCCTTAAAAAGTTAAGCGGGAGCGTACACGCCTAGACAATCGGAAGTTTTCCTTCAGCCAGCGTGTTGTTCGGCCATGGAACTCACTCCCAAGTGAAATAGTGACATCTGATACAATCGCTGTATTCAAAAGGCAGCTGGATCGTTTGATATTTGATAAACGACGACTTTCACAACAGGACTACCTGCGGCTAGCCATAAATTTCATTTCTTGATTTCATCCCTACTTAACACACCCCTGACTCTTAATGAGATGCCCCCTCTCAAACTATGCAAATGACTGCACTTTATGCTGATTGTATATAACTGCACTTAAAATCTCATGTGTGCACTGAGAAGACCGCCTGCCGCACCCTTAGCAGTCCCGCATTGTGAAAGTTTCCCGTGAACAAATATGTTACTGACAAAAGTTTAGTAAGATGTACATTTAACATTTATATTTTATGTACCGTTTTCAATAGGGTCATCAAGGGCATTGCCTATTACCCTAAAATACAATACAATACCTCTTGTTCAATGCACAATGCGGCTTTCGTAGGGGAGGATCGTGTGTAACAAACTTGATTTACACAATACAAAACTGGACATGAGCACTCCATGCAAAACACGCTGTGCATGAAGCCTTCAGCAATTTCCGGAAGACGTTCGACAGTGGTTCACACCAGCGTCTGCTTTACAAGTTGAGAATGATGGGCATCGGCGGCAAGCTTCTTAAATGGATCGAGAATTTCCTCATCGGCCGTTCCCAAGCTATCTGCGCGGAGCAACAGCAACCGAGGGGTACAGTGACGAAGAGTGGAGTTCCAAAACGCTTCATGCTCCGACCGACCCTCTTTCTGTTGTTTATCAATCATTGTGTAGAGGAGTTGGACTGTGGTTGTGTCATGTTCGCAGATCTGGAAAGCCATCCACAATGCTGCCGATGAGACCAACTTTCAAGAGAATCTTTGACGACTAGAGGAGTGGTCTCGCAGATGGCTCCTGTCCTATAATTTCAATAAATGCACCATACTGCGTCTAGGAAATCGAAATCAGATCCATAATATGCGGCAGTATTATTTAAACGGGAGACCACTCCGAGAGACAGGAACGCAAAAGGATCTCGGAGTTTGGATTGCAGACACCTTAAAGCTTTCTACGCAATGTCGTAAGGCAGCTAAATCCGCAACTTCAATGCTGCACTCTATCAGGAGGGCATTCGCGGTTTTCGATGATGAATGCTCCTCCAAACTCTTCGGCAGGTTTGTACGGCCGCAGCTGGACTGTGCAATCCACGCCTGGAGATCCTGGAAGCAGCAGAATTGCAATCTACTCGAAAGAGTGCAGACGCCAGAGTACACTGTCTTATAAGATCCGCCTGAATAACCTTAAAATCTGTCCTCTGATTTGTAAGCAGTTGTGGGGTAATTTGGCACAAACTCTTCTTATTATATGTGGCTTCCACCGTGCCCTTCGGTGTGACGACTTCTTAAACCTGCCACGACAAATAACCTGCGGGGACATCCCTTCTAACTACGTGTTCCCAAAGGTAAGATTGGATGCGATAAAACATTTTTTCTCCAACCGTGTCGTGGAACAGTGGAATAAACTACCCGAAGGGATTGTAACGTCTCAATCTGTGGAGACATTTAAACATTGTCTGGATAGACGTATTTTCCCAAAACAGTTACTCTAGAGATTTTGCACGCCGATACACAAGCCAGCAGAAATCAAAAGAAGGATATGAGGAACAAGATTTTTCTGATCAGGCGACAAAACGAAAACCAAAAAATGGCGAACGCTTCCTAATATTGAAAATGTGCCTCAACTCGTTGAAATACACCTGAGTAAGCACCAAATACGACTGACGCACTGACCGACGACTACGCTACGCAATCAGCTTCTATACTCTAAGGAAAAGGTTGGCTATTTGGATAAGAAGATGCAGTCTATAAGGTTCCATGCGGCACTTGTGATGAGATATACTGTAGTCAAACTGGGAAATTTGCCTATATGAAGACCGATCGGCATTAAAGAGGCGGGACCAATTACCCTAAATTGTCATGCATACTCTAAAGACTGGGCACAAATTTGTTTGAGATAAAGCACGTATTTTCGGTTTGTGCCCATATAAGAAATGCCTAGATATTCCAGAGGCCATTCAGTCTGATGATGTATGCATCAAGCGACGCATAGACCTAGACGTCATGTACACAAATCTCAGAGGGAAATGGAAAAGCTGATAGCCAATCAAAACGGGACATGAGCTCACAGCATTGACCCATCCTCAGCACTGACAAAGCATTATCGATTTTTCAAGCATGTTTAGACTTTAAACGTTTTTCACACTTTCTACACGTCTGACGAGGACCCGGGAACCAGCGTCGAGACTTGGCGAAGTAATCTAGGTTCAATTTTCCAAAGGACTCATTTTTCTTCGAATTTTGTTTCGTGGGATGCCCAGCTTCCATTACACACCCCTCCTGTGGAGGACGCCTGTCATACTAACGAAGGCCACACGGCCGGGCAACTAATTCGACGCAACAACCTACATAAAATTAAGTTTTTCTACGGAAATGTACAAAGTCTCTTGAATAAACTCGACGAACTTAGAATAATTGTAGCCGAACTATGTCCTGATGTTATCGCATTAACTGAAACGTGGCTCACCCCAGATGTCACAGACCCCCAAATACAGTTAGATAATTATCAAGTGCTAAGACGAGACCGAACCAAAAAGCGGGGTGGCGGAGTTGCCCTATATATCAGCAATGCGGTCGAATATAACCCTGTTGAAGAATGTGTAAATAAGCATGATCTGGAGATGCTGCAGTGTCATTTGCTGGTCCCCAAAGCCGAAAACGTTACTATTACAGTTGTATATAGGCCTCCAAATCCACCTGCCGACGAAGATCAAGCGTTAAGCACTCGACTCCGCGAGGACAGTCGAGAGCAAAACATGATTATTGTAGGAGATTTCAATGCTCCGCGGATTAACTGGGACCTTATGACAGTTAAGGGCCACAGACAAGGATTCGACCAAATGCTATTAGACATGGCATTTGATGAATTTCTGTTTCAAAATGTACGAACTGTGACTCGGATGCGTGAAGGTCAGAGAGCTAGTTGCCTAGACCTTGTGTTTACCAAGAACGAGGAAAGCGCTGATGAAATAAATGTAGGCCCGCAACTAGGCTCTTGTGATCACATGACATTAATGTGGGGGTCGACACTCGTAGCTGTCCCCGAACGAAGCTCAAAGTCGTTAAGAAATGTCTGGCGGGGTAACTTTGAGGCAATGAAATCATCGATTGGACACACGCTATGGACGGAAGTATTACGAGGAGACGTCAACGAATGCTGGACAACCTTCGAATCAACTATGAGAGGCCTGATTGGACGATACTGTCCCCTCAAGAAACATCCAACCGGAAACAAACCGAAATGGTTAACAACATCGGTTAAGAAGGAAATCCGAAAAAAACGCAAGCTGTGGAAAATCTTCTTACAAACGCAGAACCCGGAAAAACTTAATGAATTCAGACAACAACGAACCTTATGCAAAAGACTCATCCGAGAAGTACGAGCTTCTTATGAACTGAAGCTCCTAGAAGAGGCGCAGCAAAAACCTAAAGCGTTCTATGCATATATCAGGAGCAATACGAAAAACCGGGACCATCTGGCAACCTTAAAGGACAAAAATAACCGAATTGTGAGCGATGGCCTTTAAAAAGCCCAGCTTCTTTCCGAGTTTTTCCAAAATGTCTACACCACGGAACCACCCCTCCAGTCTTGTTCTCTTCCACTGTCCGCCAACCAACCACTTATAAGCCCAGTATTTTTTACTCCGCAGTTAGTTTTAGCAGAGCTAAATAAGCTGGATCCGGCCAAGTCACCTGGACCAGATGAGATTCCAGGTGTACTCCTGCGTCAGCTAGCCGAAGAATTAGCAGAGCCACTTTCTATAATCTTCCAAAAATCGCTGTAAGCTGGCAAACTACCTGACCCATGGAAGTTGACAAACTTCGTACCTATCCACAAGGGAGGATCACGGCTATGTCCCAAGAACTAGCGGCCGGTTAGTTTGACATGCATTTGCTGCAAACTGACGGCAAAAGTAGTTAAAAGATCTATTACATCACTCGATACTTTCCGCTGTCACATCACCTCAGTTCAACATGGCTTCTGCAAAAAGCGGTCGTGCCTCACAAACCTGCTTTCGTCACTCGAACACTGGTCAAAGGCCATGGATGAAGGACATCCAGTTGATGTAATTTACTTCGACTTCAACAAGGCGTTCGATTACGTCCCACATAAGCGCCTCATTCAAAAGTTGTCAGAAGTAGGGATAAGAGGAAATCGTCTCAACTGGATTCAAGATTTCCTAAACGGACGGCGAAAAAAAGTCACTGCGGGCGGCTACTGCTCAGAATGGGCACCTGTTACGAGTGGAGTCCCACAGGGGTCAGTTCTTGGGCCGCTCCTATTCATTATCTACGTAAATGACCTAGTAGGGGAAGTGAAGTCGGAAATAGCGCTCTATGCAGACGATCTTAAACTTTGGAGAGCGATAAAAAATGAATATGACGTCAAGATACCACAAAAGGACGTAGCGAATTTGCACGCATGGGGCGAGAAATGGTGCATGAAATTCAACGTCAAAAAATGTGCAGTAATGCACGTAGTATCAGCGAGGCGAAGAACAAATGCACCCCCACGACAGTATCTCCTGGACAATCAACCACTTAAAGCCATAGATGTGCAAAAAGATCTCGGTGTATTTATTAAAGACGATCTAAGCGTCACCACGCAGTGTTCTAAAGTCGCTGCGCGAGCAATGTCCGTTATGAGCGCCATAAGCAGAACGTTTATACACTTGAATAAAGATGTTTTTAGCAAAGTATACGGGACATTCGTGCGGCCGCACCTGGAATATGCGGTACAGGCTTGGCGACCGTGGCTTCGGAAGGATATGGATATCCTTGAAGATGTACAACGGCGTGCTACAAAGGCTGTTCATGGCCTCAAAAACTAAACGTACGAGCAGCGCCTGACGGCCTTGAACCTCTATCCCCTCCACTACAGGCAGGAAAGAGGTGACCTCATAGCAACGTTCCAGTTGGTAAAAGGACTTAATCTGGATGTCGACTGGGAAACGTTTTTTGAAATGGCACCCAAGTCCAATCTCAGACGACATGATTGCCAGCTTAAAAGAGAACTGTGACACACAAATCAACGCTCCTCGTTTTTCTCACAGAGGGTCATTCACCAATGGAACTCTTTGCCGGGATCTTTTGTTAATTCCCCTTCCGTCAACGTGTTCAAGAGACAACTGGATGCTTACCTGCTGAAAGGCAACCCGAACTGCCGAAGCCTGATCTAACGGATTACTGAAATGGCTATAAATATACTACTAACAAGATTTCAACAGGTCCTAGTTTGTGCTCCAAACTTAGCCCATATTGAAATTTTCACAGTCCGAATGCGGTGAACAAAGTTTTTCGCAATTATTTCGCGATTATAATGCCCCTTTCGCCTTTATGTTACATTATTAGATTTATGAATTCTCCTTACTAAAACTACAAGCTTTGCAATTTACCTATTTTCCCTTATATCTGTACCCTCTAAATGGAGTTTTCAGGGCTCCTGTCGTTTACCCCAAATATGCTGACTGATACTGACTGTATGCGTTGGTGGGTTGGCGCTCACCGATTGGTCTTACGGAAGTCACTCGTTCCGTTGTTCCTTACGGGATCTCACACGTAGACAAGGCTAAAGGGACAAAGACAAGGGAGGCAAGCCACAAAACTGGTCAAATCGGGTCAGATTTATTAAGGGCAAGGTAGGCGAGCGCCTCTGAACTCCCTTTTGATTACAGTAACGTCATAAAAAAACAATGTGTATGGCAAGTGTCAAAGAAAACTAAGTACGTAATTACATACAACAAGCATTGCTCACTGGTATAAATTTGTCTGTGAATGCCTTCTGTGTCAAAATTATACAATAACCAGTAAGCGGTACTGAATGGACCAAGTCACATCGAAGCGAGCGCATACGCTTCGGCCAGGAGATAACGAAGAGTTAAAAGTAATGCTACTTAAATATAGGGAGTAGCATGATTCGAAACGTAGAAATATGTGGATGGGTGGTAAAGGGGAAAATTTGTAAGTTTCTGATGCCGTGGAGGTTCATATCCCTATACTGATCGTGATTCCTCTTAAATGAGTCCACGGATGAGGACATGACGACGTCCACAGGCAGGGCATTCCATGCCTTTACCACTCTGTGGCTGAAGAAGGACTTCCTTGCGTCCAGTCTCGTCCCTGTCACACGTAGTTTCAGAGGACATCCTCTCAAGCTAGTAGTGGTGGTCAGCTTAAAGAAGTCGCCAGATGCGAGGCAGCACTTCTGACTCCGGAGCATTCGAAACGTTTGAATTAAGTCGCCTCGTAGAGGAAAGAGGTTAAGACTTGACAGTCTTGTTTCGTAAGGTAGGTTTTTATGACCTCTAACAAGCTTGGTTCCCCGTCGTTGGACTTTTTCGAGGGTGGTACGATCTTTGGCTGACCGCGGTCTCCAGGACTGAATGGAAAATTCTAACTATGGACGCAAAAACATCCCGAAGACCTTGCAAAAGCACTCTTCGTCGAACTTCGTAAATGCCCGCTTGATGGGATAGAAGCTGGACATTGCGGATTTCGTTGCTTTCAAGCTGTGGAATGGTGGCATTTGTGAAGATATTATCCACACACCTAGATCCTTCTGAACCCCTACCACTGGCTGCGATGTGTGATTTTGATAGTACGTCTGCCGGTGCGCAGAGCTGGCTTTGCCAATCCTCAAAATGTTGCATTTGGTAACATTAAATGGGAGGAGCCATTGGCCTTAACATTGTTCGAGTCGGTCGAAGTTTGCCTGTAGATTTCCTTCATCGTCCTCGTTGCGGATGACGATACAAAGCTTTATATATGCAGCAAACATAGCAATGTTGCAGTCGAAACCATAGATACAGTCATCAATATAGATGAGGAAGAGGATAGGGCCAAGAACGGAGCCCTGAGGTAGTCCGCTCGTAACCGTCACCTCTGCCGATTGCTGGCCACCAAGACGGACAGTCTGAGACCGACCGATCAAAAAGTTTTCAATCCACTTCAAAAGCTTGCCTTTTACCCTTATGCGGCTGAGCTTGTATAGGAGACGTTGGTGTGGCACGCTGTCGAAGGCCTTCTTGATGTCTATATAGGCTACATGCACCACGTTTCCTTCATCAATCACTCGGGTCCACTGCTCAAGACAGTAGAGTAGATTGGTCAAGCAGGACCTTCCTCTGCGGAACCCATGCTGTGCATCGGATTGATGATGTTGTTCTAAAAACCGCATCAGTTCGTGTTTGATAATTCGCTCCATAACTTTGCAGCATATGGAGGTGAGGCTTACCGGTCGGTAGTTGTTTGCGGAAGCGCGGCTGCCAATTTTATGTATCGGTGAAATCCACGCAGTCTTCCACTCAGGAGGCAGTCTGCCTGCATCAACAGAGGCTTTGAAGAGGAGACACAGAGGTTCTGCCAATTCTGTGGCTAATTCCTTCAAGAACTTTGCTGGTAGTTCATCAGGACCGGGCGATGTGGCTTCTTTTAGCTTCAGTAGTTCTTGTTGAACAATGGCTTTTGTAAGAACCACTGAGCCAATTTTCGGGACATTGTCTACATTACAGTGATCAGCAGGTACAGCGGCTTCTCTCGTAAAAACCGACTGAAAGAACCTGGACAGATGCCCAGCCTTTTCGTCGTCCTCGTAAAGTTCAACGTTATCATCTCTTTTTAACATAGGGATGGGATCCCTGTTGCGAGTATCATTGTCAGTTTATTAAGGAAAGCAATATAAGTATCAGGGTATTTCAGGGAAAGTAGGTGTGTACCTTTGAAATCCCTATTAGTTACATACAGAGGATGTATATGGAGAAAATGGAAAGGAAGTAACATGAAAGAAATACAAGGGGAATAACAAAAACTGTACAGATGGACACAGAATGTCATGCGTTAACAGCATTTAGAGATACATGAACTCGGTTTGTTGGCTAAATGCAGCAGAAAGTGGAAACACACTTAAGATACAGGAAAAGAAGTAAAATTTTTTAGTCTACAGGCATCGTGGTGAATGCGAGCAGCGGTGTGCGACATGGTCAAAAATTAATAGATTACATAAACATATGTTACTCGAATGTTGGTAGTAGCATCGGAAGAGGAGAAAAACATTGATAAGAGGGAAGCTGAAAAAGGGATTTTGTACATACTCGCGGACAGCTGACAGCAGTCGAAAAAGTACAATCATTAACGGTTACTTACTAATTACAAGTAATATAAACACATATAAGTTGTGCCGGGTTATGTCAGTGGATGTGAGGATAGTAATTGGGAAGCTTGATGCGCGTCAAGTCTACACTAGAAGGAATTCACACAGGAGGAGATTACAACATCGGTAGGGAGGGCATTCCACGCTGCAACCACTCTGTTACTGAAAAATAACTTTCGTCCATTGATCCTTGCATTCCCTGCGCGTAGTTTTAGGGGATGACCGCGCAAAGTGGGCGTGTTATCTTGGGTGAAATAATCAGTGGGATCTAAACAAGAGTCTAGGCCGTTGATGATGCGAAATGTTTGTAGAAGGTCACCACGTATTTGCCTGTAGGAAAGTGAAAACAGGTTGAGAGTTGACAGTCTGGTTTCATAGGGTAGTGCCCGCAGACCTTGTGTCATTTTGGTCGCCTGCCACTGGACCTTCTCCAAGACGGTATAATCCTTGGCATTCCGCGGTCTCCACGCCTGTATGGCGTATTCTAGATGAGGTCGCACGAAGGTGCCAAATATTTTGTGAAAACAGTCAGGGTCAAATCCCATAAATGCTCGCCTGATGAGTTGCAATGTGGCCGTAGCCGAGTTAGCCGCCTTCGCGCAGTGCAGTGTTGGTTTGAATGAAAATGTAATCCATACACCCAGGTCCTTTCTGACTGTCGACCTGTTGTAGTGGTGAGCTCTGAAACTGCCGAGTTGAAGAAAGTTGCACTTGCTTATATTGAAGGGCATAAGCCAGCGCTTCGACCAGTCTTCGAGCCTGTTCAAGTTTGCCTGCAGGTGGTCTGCGTATGCCGCATTGTGAATAACTTTCCACAATTTTATGTCGTCGGCAAACAGGATGGCATCACAGTCTAGGTTCCTGACGCAGTCATTTATGAAAACGAGGAATAACGTGGGACCTAAGACTGAGCTCTGTAGGACGCCACTCATCACACATACATCTGAGGACTCTTGACGCCCGACCTGCACTCTTTGGGACCGTCCAGTCAAAAATCTCTGGATCCATACGAGAATGCATCCACGAATTCCAGTGTTGCGCAGTTTGTACAAAAGACGTTGGTGAGGAACGCAGTCGAAAGCCTTTTTGAAGTCGATGTACATGGCGTGCACCACATTACCTTCATCGTGTGCTTTGGTCCAGCGTTCGAGCGTAAAAAGCAGATTCGAGAGGCAGGACCTACCACTTCGAAAGCCACATTGGGCATCGGAGAAGAGGTGGTGCTGCTCAAGGAACTGCATCAAGGCCTTCTTAATGGTCTTCTCCATGCTTCTGCAACAGATGGAGGTAAGACTCACAGGCCTGTAGTTATTCGCAGACGCACGACTTCCACGTTTAAAAAGCGGAGTGGTGGTAGCGGACTCCCAGTCAGAGGGCAGTAGGGGGGCGCTCACCGATCTCTTTTACGGAACTCACTCATTCCGTTGTGCCTTATAGGCTCTCTTTCGAGCCCAACCAGCAGCCGCACAGCGGCGCATGGTATAGGCAGACTGGTTTTACCGACAAAGGCGAGGGAGACTAGAATGACCATTTTTTGCTTATTAGCCGTCGTCAGCCAGTCATGCCCAATCCCGAAGTGTGGAACAACCGAGGTTCGAACTCGCCACCTGTTAGAAATCCACGCCTCAAACCATCGGGCCACGAGCCCAGTCTTATATAGTTGAAGAAAAGCTTTGGGTTTTCTCCTGCACAGTTTAAAAGGTTACCTCGAAGTCTTGGCGGGCTTTGTAAACAGGCCACTTTACCCTATTCCGCTGAGCCTTGAACCTATTCCTTGATTCAATTGTCTTATCCCGAAGGTAAGCTTTCCGCAGCTTTTGCTTACGGTTTACTTCAACTTTTAGTGAACTCTTTAGCCATCGGGGCCTGTCAGTCGTTTTCTTTTTCGAAATAGGGCAGTATCTGGTGATACGTTCATTCAGTACGGCCTTAAGTTCTAACCAGTCCTTGAGAACACAACCCGTGAATGTTGCTTTCCAGTCTCTACGACTCATGTCTAGAGGCATTTGGTTGAAGTCACCACGCCATATGTTGCCTCTGATCACGATGCTTTGATCAGTTACAGAGAAGAGAGAATACTCCCACTGTAGGACTACACGGCCGTTTTTTCCTAGAGGGGGTAGACAGTTTACGACACCAACGCTTTCCGGGTCTTTGTCAATACAAGGTCTAAGCAGTTAACTAGTTGCCCTTCACGTAGTCTGGTTGGGGATAAGACGTGTTGTGTGAGATGGGATCTTTGCACTGCTTTTAGGAGGCGGCGATCAAAGTTAAATTCTGAGCCTGGGGCAGAAATCAAATTCCAGTCAATATTCGGAGAGTTAAAGTCGCCCGTAATCATGACACTGGGTCGGATCGAAATCGCTTCTAATTCCTCCAGTAGACTACTGTCTGATTGCGGGTCGTTTGTCGGTGGGCGGTAGACCGTCAGGATCTCGAGAGGTTGTGACCCCGGCGTTTTGATGGTGAGCCAAGTTGCTTCACTTGTGCGCGCGAACTGTCCCTCTTTTTCTGACGCAAAAAGGCCATATTTGACATATATAAGAACACTCTCCACCTTGACGTCCCAATCTATCCTTTCTGAACAAATGATAACCGGATAAATCGACTTCGCGATCGTCTACGTTCGCGGACAGCCACGTTTCTGTTATGGATATTACATCGGGTAAGGTTTGGTTAACGTAGATCTTAAGCTCATCTAACTTAGATAGCAGACTTTGCGCATTGGAGTATAAGCATTTGAACTTTTTTGCCTTTGATAAGCCGGCTATGATGTTGCCTTGGTCAACTGCCTCAGCTGTGGCGACATACGCACGGGCCGTGTCCATATGAACCGGTACGGCCGCTCAATTCTGCAGTTTTTGTAGATAACCAGGTTTTGTTCGCCATTCCTTTGTCGCAGCCTTAGCTCCTGGACTAACTGTCGGCGTTTTAGTCGCTCCGTTGGTGTGTAATCCGGCTGAAAAAAACTCCTTAATGGAAATATTTTAACCTAAAACGTCTTGAGAGGATGAGGTCAACATGCTCTTTGCAACTCAGAACAATTTTAAGGGTCCTAGGATGCGGTGGAATAGCAGGTTCAGTAGTGCGCTTTCCGAGTCTGGAGGCTTTCAATACTGGAACTTCTTCGTTGGGTTGAAGAATTGTATTTAGAAGACCTTGGAACAAGCCGAGATCTGCTAGTATGCGTCCTTTAGGTGTGTCTGCGTGTGGCTCCTGAAGTCCCTGTATTACAAGGCGCTGTTCTCGGAGCGGCCGGTCTTTGTTGGGTGATGTTGGTGACTTGGGAGTTTCTGGCGAACCATTCATGACTATATTCTGGTTGCCATCCAGTCTAGGGACCTTTTCATGAACTAATGGCATCATCTTTGTGGTAATACTGCTCCTGTCTTTTATGTCATTAAAGAAGATATTCGCATTTGCCGCGTTTGCGTCTACGCGGGCGCTGGTGGTTTCTGTCGATTACTCAGACGAGCTCTGCTTTTCCACCCTAGGAAGTTCTTTTGGCTAGATCGCACTTGGTAGCCAGGACCCGTATTACAGGTGGCGGGGGGGACTGTTTACTGGGGCTATTTTTGGGACTCCATAATCACATCTGACCCATTTGGCTTCCGTTTTACGTTTGGATTAGGGTACCAGTTAATGGTTTCCGATTTTCGGGTAGGGTTATGCCTTTAGGCTTAGGTTTCAGGGTTACGGTAAAGGTTTGGGCGTACGATTAGGTTTCAGTATTACGGTTAGGTTTCTCAGTTACGGCTATGTCTAAGGGCCGTGGTAACATTTGCGATTTCGGTATGGGTTAATGTTGCCGTTAGGGTTAACGGTTAACGTTTAAGACTGAGGCTAAAGCTAAGGTTGGAGTTAGGGTTAAGGTCGCCGTTCGCTTTCCTATTCCTGGCTACCAACTGCGATCTAACCGTTCATTTCTTCGAGTACTCCAAAGTCCTCCGATTTCTGCCTCTCCCTTTTCAGTCATCAGTCCGTTTTGATTTATCTTCTTCTTTTGATGTGACCTCAGTTGTCTGTGAACGCTCTGAGTCTTATTATAAATTGCCTGCTTCTCCTCGCTCTCATTGCGGGGGGCGATGATCGTCTGCTTTCTGCCCTTCTGCGGCGGATGAACATCATGCCTTGTCATATTCTCCGCGATTTCCTCTGAGGTTTCCGTCCATGTGGTAGTCTTTTCTATGTCGAATCCTTTTACCTTCTTATGCGGTGAAGATCGGACAGCTTCTACTCTGCCAGTGAGCTGGTCATTGTTCTTTAGCTGGGTTATTATCAATGATGAGTATGCACTGCTATTATCTCTTCCCAACTTAGTTTGCGATTTAGGAGTGTCGTTTACCCCCGCCCTTGGTGAGGACGAGGCTGTAAGTTCATGTTTTCGTTTACCTCTTCTCTTAGCACTTTTTTTATTTCTGCAGCCAGCGATCGCCTGAAACGGCAATCCTTCTATTAGTGGGTTGCTGTTATTCAACTCTGTCAGTTTCGAAACTATCTGTTGGCTGCTGCTGAATTCATCAATTGACCTGAATTTATCATACTTTAGTAACAATGCAATGAGATCTATAAGGAGGTTCATGTTGGTCTCCAACGATGTAATGTTTAACGCGATATCTCGACAATATTTACACCGCGCACAACAATTTAAAGGTTCGGCATCTGGTAGAAAATCCTGTGTAGTCGTAGCTAATTGATAAGAGGCCAGAGTACACTGTCTTATGAGACCCGCCTGAATAACCTTTAACTCTGGCCTCCGATTTATAGGCAGTTGTGGGATATATTTGGCACAAACGCATCGTATTGTGTGTGGCTTGAACCGTGCCCTTCGGTTTGAATACTTTTGCAACTTGCCACGACAAAAAACCTGTGGGGACATCCCTTCAAACTACGTGTTCCCAAAGGAAGTTTGGATGCGATAAAGCATTTTTTTCCTCAACCGTGTCGTGGAACCGTGGAATAAGCTGCCCGAAGGGATTGTAACGTCTCAGTCTGTGGAGACATTTAAATATCGTCTGGATAGACACTTATTCCACCAGAAAGTGGACTATGTGACCTTGTAGCCAGAATAAACCCGTGCCCTATGTGAATCGATGTCCGCACTCGTTGCTTAAATCGCTTCACGCTAATGCAGATTTCAAGGATTCGCATGTACAAATAGGGAGTCCGGAAGGTGTAAGCCTATTTTCCCACATACACTGACTGACAATTTGCGTATGCTTGTCCTCTTGGCCGACCAACCCAATGACGCTGAACCCCGTCGCCTGATCGGTCAGCGCAAGGAGACTCACCACCTGTGACTTCTGTTCCGACCTCGGCTCATGTATCCTTCACTTTGAAGCAGCTGCATTCTCCGAAATTACACTATAGTCAGCAGCCGATCAGTCGCTTTTACATTTTGGATATAATACCTGGCGACAGATTTGTGTTGGATGGTGAGTGATTCCAACACACAATTGTCTCCACAGGCCAACGACGCCCCCACCCGCGAAATGCTGGCGCATGTGATGCTTCATTATGATATGAGCCAGCAGTTTCCTCTCATACATTTTCTGAGATCCGCATGCTATTATAAATTAACGCAAAATTGCCCTTTCTTAGTGCAGGCGATGCTGCATACGACGACGGACGGACTACTGGTCGCCATTCCAGTACATTCTTCGGTATTCTGAATACTGTTTTTAGAAGTCGATCACTGGATTAGTGGCAGAACAAAACATCAATTTGGGCGGAGCAACAGTAAGCGGTACTCTTAAATACTCCATCTTGCCCTGTTTGATGAGGTCGAAGATTGGTAATGTTCTACTTAAAGATATATCACTCGAAGGTTTGGAAGCTAGTTAAAGTGTTTGATGAGAGCTTAAGCCGTCAATGGCCTCGCTATGTTTACGCGAACTTATGTTCAAAAATCTGGCATTCCTGATTAGAGTTTACGGCTTGTCTTTATCACAAGTTTGTGAACCAAGTACCTCGCCCACGTGTCTGCAGCTCCAATGTCAGTTCACTTGTTTTCAAGTGTCACAATTTCTCGGACAACAGGCCTGTCGTTGGTCAACTAGTCCTTGGATTTACAGAGAGGTTTGTGCGGTACTTGTTTCACAAAATCGTTACAAAGTCACATAGTAAATCCGAATTGAGGAATGCTAGTTTGTGTTCATGTGCCTTAGAATGAGATGATTGGTTGACGGGGTTAGGGCTTCTCTCTAGCGAAATTTTTCTGAACAATCGCTGTCTTTGTAGTTTTTGTCCCATTTCAACATCTGTTGTAGATGTCCCCATGGCTACTTAGTCCAAATAAGATTTCGGTGCCTCGTTAACTGTGCTCGGCGACCGCACTAAATCTCCCGGGATCTGCTTCAAAAATCTGACTTGCTACCAGCCTGACCAAACAAGCTAACATAAAAGCCTTAGTAATGCTGTTCCTTCAGTCGGGAAGCGCGTAACATGCAGCTGGTCCACAAAGGCAGTTTCCTGAAGTTCATTACGTACATCAATTGATTTTAATGAACGGTTCACCGAAATCCTCCAAAAATTTGGTCGACTGACTTAGAAAATACTTATCTGCATATGTTTTTTTCCATTTTTTATAAGGTGGATCGAATTCAGGAACACGGATAACGCCTTAGGCGCAATTCTTGGCGCGTGCGGATCCAACCGGACAGTGAGGTCTGAATTGAACCGATAGAAGGACGCCTAATATTCCCCACAAACTTTATCTTAAATTTCCGGGTTATTCGTTGCCGCTAGTTAGACATAACTGGCGTATCAGGCCGGAGACTGGGGCCTGGGGGCCAAATCCTGTAGTGAGTGACGTTCACTGCTCTTTATTATTGGCACAGACAACGGGAGAACCCGTGGCAGACAGCCATACCTCCATTCCATTCAGTTAGTCGTGTTTGGCGGATTATCGGGATGAAAATAAAACTGTTTTTGACGGCGGCTTCTTGGAAGAGAACAGTTTTCTTGCTGGAAATTACGAAAGAGGGATATTTGGTATCCTATGCTGACTCATTTTGACAATTAATTGTAGGGAATTTTGACGTAGGCACTAGACTAACCAGAAAATAGTGTTATTTAATTTAAGGGATCTTATTAGTACCTACTGAGTAACGGGCTTTATTCGTAATAAGAGCGGCGAAACATGATCTAGCACTGATGCCTAGTTTTTCGTTTAAAGGCATCAATCTGGCCTCCTTATAGCACATATTTTATTTTCTCCCTATTACCCGTTATCGTTCGTTATGTCTGTCTTCCCCGTCATTCAGTAGGCCATTGCCTGAGTAGTTTTATATAACAACCATGCCTATTCAGTGACTGAGTTGAATTTCAGTATGAGACAGAGAATTCGGCCACTGGGACGGCAAACACTCACGCACTAACTTAATGAATTAATCTTTACAGTAAAAGAAGAGCATACAAGTGACTATGGTGACTCAGATTCAAACTAGGTTCCCTATGCAGTGACCGTTTGTTTAGTGCTTTGATTAAACTTTCTGCGCTCTTTACCTTATCAAGACTAAAACGGTTTCAATAATTTCATTTCCATGCGTCCTAGATTGCTCAGATGATATTGCGACCTCAAGGAGCGCGCCACATCCATAGCAAACACGTGCAACCACGTATGACCGAAAATATAGCAAAACGTATCTGGATGTGTTGAGTCAGAGTGCAGGCCTTGACACAATTTCCCATATGATCGAAAGAGTTCTCGTTACAGATGGAATTGCGTCCAATGTCAGTATTGCCAAACTGCTTGATGAATCACATGCCATTCAAAGATGGTATGAGGCTTCTCCATCGTAACTCCCGCGGGAATTTTAAGATTTGAAGGTCTTTAGTTTTTGCTTACGAAAAACCAAACACCTATTGTCAATTTTTGCAATGGACTTCTTAATATAATGTTTCCAAAGGTCATTGATAAAGGAGGCAGTTTCTCTATGAACAAATGTTACAATTAAGAAGCACGCAACTGACTAAGTACACCGGTGTCCAATTTTGTAGTTTACAACGAACGCTTTCAAACCTGTGGAGACTTCCATTTCACTTCCTCGTAAGTTTGAACAAGGGCATCATGAAGTTGCTTTGCATGGGCCTCATCACGAGTTTCTACGATACACTTCACTTGTGTTTTAAAAATGTCCGATTTGAAAAAACACCGATCGTGGTAGACTTCGCGTATGCTGAAAAAACAAGGCAAGAAATGTAATAAAATTAAATAATAAATACCAGCCAATTATTTCAGATAGCCATTTGAGTTTTGGAGTTGATTCATAAGCATGCTCTGTGTATTAGACTAGTTGAAGAAATAAATGAATTCTTGCAATGCCATTTGAAAACAGAACGGAAAACAGAAAACTAAATGTTGACTTACCAAACTCCCAGATCCCGAAGCATATTACAGAGGTCTGCTAAACCACCAGCCTTGTCCATCATGCCTACTTTAAAGCGTACCAGACGACTTTCGACTGCAAGGGCTCTGTCAATGACTTTGCCAAGAATAACCGAGTCAATATTGCCACCACACAAAAGGCAGACCACCCTAAAAGAAATAAGAGACAAATGTCCGATAGTGTGAAACCACTAGCGTCTTCACATTTCAACCAATAAATAAGAATGTACTCACTTTTTCCCTTTCAGCTCAGGGAAGGTGTTTGCAATTATGGCACCAAAGCCAATAGCCCCAGCACCCTCGACAACTGATTTTTCCATTTCCAGCAGTTCAAGAATAGCTCGCATGACAAAACTCTCGTCAATTGCCACAATTTTATCCAACAACGGTTTCAATGTTTCCAGTGCATTGACACCGACAGTAGGCACAAGCAGACCTGAAGAAGCAATTAGTGAAAAACGAAGACATCCCACCATCTGCTAGCGTGCTGTCGCAAGGAGTGTAAACAGGTTTCCCGGCAGCCCAAGCTCTGGAGAAGGAAGGGCATTGGTCGGACTCAACACCCTAGGTAACATGCAAAGTAAGATTACATATCCAAAAAATGGTAGTGCTGATCTTGCTTGAATACAAGGAGCCACGTACATAAACCTTGACACTAGGCTTTAGTTTTTTAACTGCACACGCAACGCCTGCAATGAGACCGGCGCCACCAACGGGAACAATAATAGCGTCCACATCTGGAACCTGCTGGAGGATTTCCAAACCGATCGTGCCCTGTCCAGCAAGAATATGCGGATGATCGTACCTAGGTATCAAATAAATTAATAAAAATCTTCGTTTCATCCAAAATATGTTGCGAATTAGCTTTTTCCAGTATAAAAAGTTTACGTATGTGTAGACAATGAAATCTAAGCTTACATACCCATTAACGTAAGTGTAGCCGTGTTGACGGGCAAGTTTCAAAGCAACTCGGCGGGCCTAAAATATCATAAACGTCATCTGAGTACGGCGATGAAAAAACTAAACATATATGTGAGATGGTGGATTGTTATCGCTTAGACTTGAGAGAACGCGCAAGGAGAAGAAATCTAAAGACTCACTTCACTTATGGTTTTTCCTTTCAAAATGATTCTTGCACCAAAAGCGAGACAGTTGTTGATTTTTGGAAGTGGCGCTATAGTGGGCATGACAACCGTCACGGGTATGCCTAATTTTTGTGCATGTAAAGCCATCGCGGACGAATGGTTCCCTGTGCTGGCGGAAATAGCTCCTATGCGTTTTTGTTCCTTCAATAATAGACATAAAATGAAAAAGTAACTGCTGGGTACAAAATAACCAAAAGCGGTAGGCTAGGCCTCAGAAGACGAGAATGAAAGTGAGTCCTACCGTCTAGGATGGCTGGGTGAAAATTTGTACTCTTGAGTAGGTTTGCATAATTCGACGTTGATTACAAGTATGTCCAACGTTATTATGAATTAATTAATCTATCCGTTTTACAAGTTGGCTACCACAAAAGGTATGAAGATAGTGCAGATACGATTTAAGTGACAAACGGTTGTACCTACGTGCTAAAATTAAAAAGGGCATATCAATATTCTCACAAAATGATTATTTTTGATACCCATACATCCTTTAATAAAAACATCCCATTGAATGCTTGGAATGTTTTCTACCGGGTATGCCGTCTGGCGAAAGCTGTCAGAAGATTGCTGTGTATACGGCACAAAGCAAATCATGCACAAACTGCATTTGCCGTCGTCTTTGATGAGCAAGCCGTACAAATTTGTTAACTATGACTAAGTAAACCAGTTGAATGTGGTTTAGTGACGGAAAATTATTCACGAAAGCCAACCAGAGGGTGAAAAGTGGAGATATGTATAAAGGGCACTTACAGGCGTGAATGCACTGAGCGTGTTACATGCTCCACGTTCCTTGAAACTGCCGGTTAAATGCTCGAACTCCTTCTTAAAGTACAATTCCATGCCGTACCTAGCTGACAGACGCGATCGCTAAAAATAGCGTATTGGTAAAATTGTCATACTGCACAAGTTGTCGGCTGTACACTCCCCTTTATGCGTTCGGCAGCTTCCAGAATTTGATGGAAATTAATGGCGCGTGGATTGTTAGGGTCGCATTCCGGGTCGAAAATATCCGGGTCATTTTCATCCGGAATTTCCATTTCTGCAGTTGGTTACAGTTATTAACAATTTGGGATCTACCAATTTCCTCGATCATATTTCTGGTTTGTCGATATCGTGTAGTTTGGCGACTTCTCGGCACTTCATAATTTCGCGTAACTTTATACCCGAATCTGACCTTAAGGCCGATAAATTAAAACACAATTCGGTAGGCCTATGCTCTTTCTTTAATGTTATTTTTGATATTTCCAAGAGTCTGGAGTACCTTCAAAATAATAAGGAACAGGGGCATGTATTTGACAGACATTATGACTGGTGGTAAAGTGGCATTTTTAAGTAAAGCATGGTGGTATTCACTTGTTGCCGAGATGTGACCGTCCTTCTACAAGCAGTTGAACTTCTTATATGGGTGCCATCTTGTTGTCTTTACGGTAAACTATGTTCCTCTAATGTAATTCACTGTAAAGTTTTTAAATTTTTTGGGTAGTCGACAGTATTTTTGATGGTCGTACACTTTCCACGGATATAAAAAGCTGACCTTTAGACGTATATTCATTGAAGGATCTAGGTGAGAAATGGGCGTCATAATATGCCGCGCTGTGATGTAATCTCCGGTGTTAATCAATTGGACATTTTTTTCGAAATGGCGAAATCTGAAAGCTCCCCAAAACTTCTCGTAGTACGTTTGGTGACGTTTTTGATACTTTCATTATGAGAATAAGCATGGGCGGGCAAAACATTCCAATGGTCTGCTATCGGATCTCTGTCAACTCGGAACAAATTTATCTTAAGACATCTGAAACTTACCTCAAGGAATTATGGAATGGAAGGCATAATCGCTCCCAATGTGTTGGTGACGGTCACAATGACTTCGAATGATCATTCGTTCGTAGCAACTGTGACGTTGCAAATTTGATAGAATCGGGTATGGTTAAGCGAACGCTTACAGACCATCGCAATCCTTCCTCATCATTAAGAACCATCCTGGATAATGCAAACTTTCCCCTTCCTTGTTATCTAAATCACAAAAAACCGCTTCACATTTACTTGTTCTTTAATTCGAAATAACTATATCAGATTATTTTGACGAGCATGCCCGTGGGACAAGTCGCACCTACTTTTAAGGACCCAACCATTTTACATGTATCCAGCGCCTAGGATAAGCATTTATCCTACGACAGTCGCTGAATCATCACGGTTTTTACAGAGCTGGTTTACTCTGCCTCCCCTTTATAGTTTACATTAGTCCCTAGACCGAAAATTCTTTTAAAAATGTAGTGAGGATTTTGAAGGAACTGTTTACTCTTTGGTATGATATTCGTAGACAGACGACTTACGAAATAAGGTCAAGTAACTAAAGCCTTTTCTAGTTTTCGTTTTCAAAGCAATTGCCAAGTCTTTCAATATTCGAAATCTAGATGGCCGGTGGAATGCCTAGAAGAAACTAGGTGACGCCGATTTTTCGTCCCGCTCGTCACATAGCCTAAGGCCCACAGGACGTGACACGTGAAAGGCAATAGACCAATATCAAGACCCTCACATTAAAAAATCGCATGAAAATTGATTGCGTCGTCGGCCCAATGCTATTTTGCTTATGCACTCCGCAACACGGTCGTGCGTCCCCACTTATAACAGAACCTATGGGGGTCAATTAACTTCCGGTGTATGAAATTACTTTGACAGCCCCAGGGGCAGGACACATGACCACCAATTCGCCGACAAACGTGCAGTAAACATCACTAGCGAACTTGCAGTAAGATGGGGAATTTTGCTTTCAGATTGCCCATCTTCTGATCAATCGTCCACAGGCGAAGTGCAAATGGCACGCCTTAGTCGATGCTTGCCGCTCTACTTGCGTATTTGCCAGTATGGGTCACCTTGCAGCCGTACATCATGGCTTTTAATTGGGTGGCACCATCTCACTGAATGTAAATATTGGCGACAAGATTTTGACCCAGGTATGCAAATTCAATCACTCCTCTCACAGCTTGAAATAAAATCTTGAATCGTCACACCACCATAACCACCACCACAACTAAACTGATCCAATGAAACGTCAACATTGCAAAGATGCCCATCAGCGACACAGGTGCTTCTAAAATTTCCTAGGACACTGTCAAACAGTCAAATGGTTTTCTTTTAAACTGCTCTTTAATTAAGCTAGGTCTAACCTTCAAAAATTAACCCTTAACACGCGGGCCTTGGAGGGGACTGTCATACTGAATACACATGCCTTGATGAAGCAGCTCCAACTCGGACTAGCATTCGCGTTGGCGGGTGGCCGACGACCGCCTGTGAAAACCAACATTTCTGTTGGAACTTAACAGAGCTGTTCGTTTTACAAGGCAAACACAAACACTGATTTACTGGCATGCTAAAATTGTTTTAATTAACCACGAGACTGGAGAAAAATTTACACAGACTATGGACCTAAGCTTCAAGTCACAAAATCATTAAAGTTACAGAACTGAAAATAATGCAAAGTGCACGCAGTAATCCATATCGAGTTTGCTGGACAAATCCACCAACATCAGACCCCTGATGGCATACGTATGCTGTTAGCTCATATTTAAGTTCTGAAAAAGCCACGTGGATAGCACTTGATTCACAACAATATCAACACATTTAATCTAACATTAAATACGCAAAAACGAATGCTGAAAACCAAGTGATGTTAGGCTAAACCTGCCCTGTTCCATACACCTTTACTGTCTGGAGTTCAACATCACATTGAATTCATAGTAAGCAATAATTGTACATTTATGTATCCCCAACAGGTTCCCTGTTTGGGCATAGGAAAATTCTCTAGCAGTGCACTTCGAGTGTTAACCTCTCTTCACTGCCATTATACCTCACAGTCAATCATCGAATATTTACGACTGAAAAGTATATGACGGCAGAATAGCCGGACAATAACTTAAAATACCAGCTTACATTCGTCATAACAATCTTTCAGGCGCCCGGCTGTACAAACACACCCAGACACCGAAATCACATGCACTACAGAATTCGACGAAATAGCATGCTACAAAACTCAAATCTAGATAAAACTAGATAACGGCGAACAATGTGCTGAAAATGGCAATTTTAGTCGTATTTTTCGGCAATTCCCTACTGCATATAATACTAGTTGCGGTGTGCGACTACCCATGCGGCTCTATATTGTGCCCCAGAGAACACTACGACGAGGATGCCCGTAACGCGATTAGTGAGCGCACTCCTAAAACATAGGAGTCGAGTTCCAGGTGTTCCGCAATTGAGGGTTGGGTGTGAGTGGCTGACGACTGTCAATAAGCCAGTAATGGCCATTCTAATCTCAATTGTCTTTGTCGTTAAGGACATTCTGTCTATATCATGCGTCGCTGTGCGTCTACTGGTTGGACTCGAGAGATAGCGATCTGTGGCACAACTGGTGGAGTGAGTTTCTTAGGAACGATCGGTGAGCGCCCCTGTACCATATACATATATATAATGATAAAAGGGCGCTCACCGATCGTTGCTACGGAACTCTATCTTCACACTCCCCCACTCAATAATCAAAGATGTCGGGTTCGTATCTCAGAGGGTCTAAACTTGTTATTGGGTATGACTGACTGGTGACGGATAGCAAGCCAGGAACTGGTGTTCCATTCTCCTTGTTTTTGTCGCTTCAACCTTATCTGTGCATTTATATATCGCGTCTATCATCTCCTGAAGACGACGAAGAAGAAGAGAGGGCCGGTGAGATGGCCAGACTGGTGCTCGAAAGTTGGTCCGCGACTTGCACATTCACCCTCTGTTCTTCTTCGTCTTCTTCGGGAGACGATGAACGCGCTACAATGCCTGGACCTCGAATCTTTACGCATTTATATATATGATGACATATATATGCGCCCATTCCTGACTGAATAAACACCGTATCTGCAGCGACAGAGAATGACAGGTGGCGAGGCACTTATGAACTTCGTTTCGACGAAGTGCCTATGATCCATCTGGTAGTCCCCAGTGGACCAAATGCGCCAGGTGCGTCTGCGCGCATGTTTGTGTTTCTGGTCCCAGCTGCTGGTCAGGGTTATGATTGGTTGAATGAAGGCAGAATAAGCCCGAAACAGTACTGTATCAATCTACCTGCATCCCCTGTCGTCCCTCCTCACTGCTATTATGACTTGGCTGACTTCAGCCTGGTAATTGGTTGCCTATTCCTGAACTTTGCCACCCATACGGAGCTTGTTTGCTTCTTGAAAACAATAGATCAATGTGCGCCATCCCTGGTAAAATATATATGTATGAGAAAAAAGGCGATAACTGGAGCCACAGGTTTAATAACCTGACGTTTCACAAGAAAACAAGCTTCCATCGTCGGAGGTAGGTTCTTTACGGAGCCTCACAGTAGTCATGGATACTGAGCATGCCGGCGTGCTGTCGTTCCTAATGCTATTCGTGCAGGATGTGTTTCGGGGAGAGAAGTTAATTGATGTTATGCTGGTCGACCCCTTTCTCACTCTCCTCTTCGGGGAGCTGTGTCGGGATTGCAACGGTCATTGGCTTCGTATACATTGCCCGCATTTGTTGTGCCTGATTCGACATTCTCGTAATTACCCCTCGTTTATGCGCATCAAACATCTCAAAGTTGAGGCAGAGGAGGTGATGGTGTCATTTGACGTGATCTCATTATTCACCTCCATCCCACCCACGCTAACTATTGACACTATTGATGGTTTTCTCCGGGAAAAGTATGATTAAACCGACCAACAGCTCAAACGAGCACACATCATCGAGCTCCTAGAACTGTGTCTTAAGACCTTCTTTACATTCAACGGCCAAGTCTACGAGCAAAAGAGGGGGACACCGATGGGCTCGCCTCTGTCTGGACTAATTGTTGAAGCAGTTTTGCAGAGACTCGAGCAGCAGGTCTTCAGCTCGTACCCCCCGAAGTTCTGGGCCAGATACGTCGAAGACACGTTCGTTGTAATCAAGAGGAGCGAGGTGAAGACTTTCAAGGCATTGTTGATCTCCATCTTTCCCGATATTCAGTTTACTATGGAAGAGGAAGTAAACAATCAGTTGCCCTTCCTGGACGTGCAAGTTACGAGATTGACAGACGGGAAGATAAGGACA